ATAACAGGATTCATGATAGACAATGTCCCACCAAGGCCGCGAGTTTTTCACAATTAGGTCAACTGAACTAAATTATGACGCCTTTTCTCGCACATACTTGGCTGCTTAAATCGTGATTGTGATAAAAGGGGGTAAAAAATCACTGTCGTATAGCAACAGGTCGTCCTTGCAGTTAGAGTGTGAATTTCAGCAGGAAGGAGCATCATCCGATGATCACAACGAAGTTGACAAATTACTATCCTGGGAAATTTGCAGGCTGACCAGTAACCGCAGCACCGTTTGATTTTTGATGATAAAGTTCGCTCAACAATGTAGTGTATGCTTTAAAAGCTCCCTAGACGAAGAGGTCCTGCTTTGATAAACTGAAACGGTAACACTATCTTATTAAATGCACACCACAGTATCGCTGCGAAGTACGAAATGCACACCACAGTGTCAAAATATGTACAAGCAGACGGTTAACCTCTTGACAGTTTTTAGTTTTAAATATTGCGTTTTACCGTTCTACACACGCTTCTATAAGGGCTGAACGTGTGTACAGTGTATAACAAGTACATAGTCAAGTTGCATTGAAGCAAAAAGCATCAGTTCGATTTAGCTGCCAACTCAATAATTTGGAACGGCCATTAAAAGGCTATTGATGACCAAATTGTGGTGTCCCAACTCTGTGCCCTTCCCTGCTTGCCACAGTTTGTTCCGTTCCCAGAAAAGATCAGTGTCTGAACACGTCCTTCAGTGTCGCCAAATAAGAACGAAATTTAGGCTCTGCCATTTTGGATAATTCAGTGGGAGAAACGGTAGTGATCGAGGCTTCAATAATTGGTAGTGGGGCGCTTACCGACCACGCAGCGGAAGAGACTCGTTCCGTCGTGCGTTGGGACTCACTCTCGTGCTCCGGCTGAAAAGCCAGAAAGGACCATTCTGGTCACTCTGGTCCTTGTAGGTAATGCCATTGTGTTTCAATAATGGCTTAAAATGAAACTTCCATTCGCGACTCAGTGTCGACTTTGTCGCAATGTCACAGTGGTCGTATCTGCAGTGTATTCCTCCCTTAACATGTCTATCTATAAATAATCGGGTTCTCTATGTATGGCCGCCGAAAATCACTTAATGAAAAAGGGAGGCGACGACTCTCTAACCCATTATCGCCTTTAAGGGGCTATAACACGCATCATAAAGACGAGGATGACGAGGCTTGGCCTACGGACTTCGCCGTAGACTACCAAGGAGGGTGAGGACACTGGTCTCGTGCCTCCGTCAGAACGACTGACTACGCCCCAGGTCATGAATTGCAGCCACAAAGCATCGCGGGCACGGACACCAGCGTGACCCTAGCATCGGCTTTCCAACACACATACATACACACACGGCGCGACACGACGGTG